TGGTGGCGTTGACCGCAACAATGACGACGTTGGTGGTGATGATGTCATTGGCAATGACGTCATCGACAGTGACGATGACATTGACAGTGTTGACGATGCCGAAGGTGCCGCGGCCCCTGGTGCTGGGCCAGCCCAACCCTTTGCATGTTGATTTAACTCATTTCCCCCCGTTTGGCCCCAAACGAGCCGATCCCGCGCTGGACCCGGTCAATTAAAGCCATTCCTTAATTAATCCCTTGAGATCAGAGCTGACGGGGGGCGTGTCCATCCGTGTCCCCGCCCCCGCCGCCCGTCCCGGCTCATCCCCCGGGATCTTCCCGTCTCCTCCCGTTGCTTCGACTCCAAAACTTGAATTTGCCTTTTCTTTGGGTCCCCGGGAGCCGGGATCGGATCCGGAGGGCTCGGAAAACCGGCGGGAATTGGGGTTTTCCGGCCGTGGATTTTCAGGTTGGGCTTAAAAACGTGGGTTTTGGGGTTGTTTGTTTGTTTGGGGTTTTTTGTTGTTGTTTTCCAGTCGCGTCGCTTCCGTTTCAGTGGAATAAAAACCCGGAAAAATCCGTGGATCCCGGGTTTTGTTTTTTTGTTTTGGTCCCTGCGAACCAAACCAGCTGTACAGTCCCGGCTCTCTCCAGCTGCCAATAAAACCCTCTCCAATTAAACAAAAAACACTTTGGAGCTTGGATTCGTTCTTTCTCCTGGTTTGGGTTTTTTTTTTTTTGGCCTCAAAAAATTTCTCTGGGAATGGGGAAGAGGGAAAAAAAATGTGCTGAGTCAGCGATTTTTTGGGGGGTTTGGGGTTTGAAAAGAGGGGGAAAAGGTCTGAAATTTGGGTTAAAGATATAAAAATAGAGATAAAAATCATAGTTAAATATTCGATAAAGAAGTAAATAATAGATAAATAAATATATAAATAATATTTTTTATTCCCTTTTTTTTGTGGGGGGGAGGGTCGGGTTTTCCTGCTCTGGGTGAAAATCTGATGGATTTCATAAATATTGAAATATAGATTATGCATTATATATCTAAGTTTAAATAATTATGTATGAGATTTATTACTGTAATTAATTATATATAATCTATATTAGCATCAGTAATTATATATTAGTGTAAATAATTATAGGTTAGTATAAATAATTATATATTAAGGGGAAATTTTATTTAATTCTATTTAATTTTATTTTTATTATTTGTATTGTATATTATAGATGTGTGTGAATTATTATATATTATATATCATATATAATTATTAAACATATATAATAATATAATATAAATAATATATAATAAATAATAATATAATGCATAATAATATATGAATAAGTGTACTCTAATTAAATAATAAATTCTACAATCGCAATATAGTTATGAATAATATACAAATAATGTAATAATAAACTAAATAATAATATAATAACTCCCCAATTCCCGGTGTCCGAGAACCTTTGGAAGATCCGGGATCTCCCTCCGGGGGGGTCTTTTCCCGCCGTTATCCCTGTTTCCCACCCCCTGGAGCGCGTGGAATTCCTGGGACGAGCTCCCTCCATCCCGAAAAATCGGGTTCCCTTAGCAAAGATCCCGGGAAAAGGCGATCCCGCCATTCCCGGCGGGAGCAGCTGCGGCTCGTTAGGCGCTAATTAGCGGCTCATTAACGACCCGCCGGGAGAGGTGAGTCATTCCCAAGCTGTTCCCGGCGCCGGCCAAGACCGAATCCCGCCTGGAAAAGCTGCGGGAATGGGGGGAAAGAATCCTGGGAATGCGAGGAGAGGGGGCTTTGTCCGAAACCCCGCCCGGGCGAAGGGAATTCCAGGGATTCCGAGGGAATTCCAGGGACGTGGAGACCCCGGACCCACCCGGGGCAGGAGCGGGGTTGGATCGGGAGCATCCCGAGGGAATTCTGTGGGATGTGGAGACCCCGGGACCAGGCGGAACATCCCGGATGGATCCGGGAGCACCCGGGAGCTCCGGAATATTCCCTCGGGAAGGCCGAAAACGGCGGGATCCGGAACTGCAGCGAATCCCTGTCCCTGTAAAATAACCGGGAAAGAGGGAATGGGGGCGGGAATCCCGGGACAGCCTGGAATTAACCTGCCCTGAGGGATCCCGGGAAAAGCAGAGGAGGAGGAATCCAAGGGATTCCAGGTGGGAAGAGGGTTTGGAGCAACGTGGGAGATTCCCTGCCCTCGGAATGGGGTGGGATGGGATGAGCCTTGAGGGGTCCCTTTTCCCACCCGGACCATTCCAGGATTCCAGGATTCTGCTCCGGGGACGGGCTGGGAGAGCTGGGAATGTTCCCCTGGAGCAGGGAGGGATCCAGGGAGAGCTTCCAGAACATACCCAGGGGGGAAAGAGAAGAAAAGGGGAAAAATTCCATGAAGAAATGGGGGAAACAATTCCATAAAGAAATGGGGAGAAAAGAGGGACATTCCATAAGGAAATGGGGGGGAGGGAAAGGGGCAAATTCCATGAAAAATGAGGGGAAAGGGAGAAAACTCCACAAAGAAATGGGGGGGGAAGGGGGGGAAGAGGAGAAATTCCCATGGGACCCCAAATTCCTGTTCCTGCAAAATTTGGGAAGGGGGGAACATCAGGGATCCCGAATCCCCATTTCCCCCCCTCCAGACTCCCTTTTTATTCCCGTTTTATCCCAAATCCTCCCCGGATTCCTCCCCCTCCCCCCTCCATGACGAGGCACTTTTTGAGCCGAGGGGAAAAAAACCCTGGAATATTTATGAGGATTCGGCCTCTGACTCACAACAATCCCAGCGGGATTTTTAACCCCCCCGCGCCCCCGGAGAGGGAAATTTCGGGAATTCCGACCCCCCCCTCCCCAAATTCCAGGGGGTCTTTCCCAGGTGGAATTCAGACAGAGAAAGAAAATCTTTCCCCCTTTTTTTTCCCCTCCCCATTTCCTCTCAAAGCTGAGCTCAAATCCCTGGGATGAGCTGGGCTCGGATCACATCCCGAATTTTCCTTATTCCATGTTTTTTGAGGGCAGGGAGGCTCCGGAAACACCTGGAGAGCAACAAAATCCTCCCAAATCCCACAGAATTCCATGGTTTTCAGCCTCTCTTCCATCCTCTTTCCCCCCTTTTCCATCCTCTTCTCCCTCTTTTCCAGCCCCTCCTCCCCCTTTTCCAGCCCTTTCCCTCCTTTCTCTGCAGCTGCTCTTCAATTCCCTCCCTTCCCCCTCTCCCACATGAATTAAACATTCCCATAAAAAAACCTCCCTGGCAGCGGGAGGCACATCTGGGAACGAGGGATGGAGCTCCCAGCAGGAAAAACGGCCGGAAAACCAAAACCTGCAGAGAGAAAACAGCACAATTCCCAAAAAAACCAACAAAACCAAACCCACCACCAAAAAAAAAAAAAGCAAAACCGGGAAAAATCTCAGCACTTCCAAGAGACTTTTTTTTATTTGCCGACGAAATAAAGATGGAAATGGGAAAAAAATCCCAAGAAATCCAACGGAAAACAATTCCAAGGCAACTCAGATGAAGGCAAAGGAGCTCCATGCGCTGGGAGAGATCCCGAGATCCCAAAGGAACAGGAAAGGAGGGAGGGAAAGGGGCGGGAAGAGGAGGGAAGGGTAGGAAATTCCAGCGTGGGATCACAGCTGGATCCAGGCTGGAATCACAGGATCCAGGGAAGAGTCACCAGATCCAGGTTGGAATCAAAGCTCCCTGGAGCTGAATCCATCCTGGAATTGCCGGATCTGTGCTGGAATCACAGCTGGATCTGGGCGGGAATCGCAGCTCCCCGGAGCCGAATCCAGGGGGGAATCAGAGCCCCATGGGAATGGATCCAGGCTGGAAGACCCAGGGTGGAATCAGAGCTGGATCCAGGGGGAATCAGAGCTGGATCCAGGGGGAATCAGAGCTCCCTGGAGCTGTATCCAGAGTGGAGAATCCAGGAGGGAATTAGAGCTGGATCCAGGGGGGTATCAGAGCTCCGTGGGAATGGATCCAGGCTGGAAGATTCAGGGTGGAATCCGAGCTGGATCCAGGCCAGAATCACAGCTCCTTGGAGCTGGATCCAGAGTGGAGGATCCAGGCTGGAATCAGAGCTGGATCCAGGGGGGAATCAGAGCTGGATCCAGGTTGGAATCAGAGTTCCCTGGAGCTGGATCCAGAGTGGAGAATCCAGGGTGGAATCAGAGCTGGATCCAGGATGGAATCAGAGCTCCGTGGGAATGGATCCAGGCTGGAAGATTCAGGGCGGAATCAGAGCTGGATCCAGGGTGGAATCACAGCTTGGAGCTGGATCCAGGGTGGAGGATCCAGGGCGGAATCAGAGCTCCCTGGAGCCAAACCCAGCCTGGAACTGCCGGATCCATCCCCGAATCCCCGTTTCCAACCCTGAATCCCTGTCTCCCCCCCCGAGGGGGGCTCAGAGCTCCCCGCTGGTCTTGATGACGTGGAAGAGCGTGACGTTGTAGATGACCTGGTGGCCGTTGTTCCAGGTGTACAGGACCCTCTCGCGGGGGTTGTAGTCCAGCATGGAGATGTGGGAGTACTGGTTGTGGAAGGGGATGTCCGTGTACTCGTAGCTGGAGCTGTTGGTGTCGTAGGCGAAGTAGATCTTGGCGCCGGCCAGGTGGGAGTTGGTGACGTAGAGGGTCCCGCAGATGAGGAAGGACTCGCCGGCGCTGCGCTTGGGGTACCCGGTGTCCCAGCTGCGCAGCACCTGCAGGCTCTGCGGGTCCACGCGGCTCAGCACGATGTTCCCGGCGTTCTGGTTCGTGGTGTACACGGCCCACAGGCCGCTCTCGTCCACCATGAAGTCGATGTCGGAGAAGCCGCCCCAGGAGTAGGGGAAGGTGTTGTTGTAGCCGGCGCCGGCCAGGCTGCGCTGCACCAGGACGCTGCGGGAGCCGAAGTGGTACTTGACGGCCACGTTGCTCTGGTACTTGTTGTAGAAGAGGGAGCCGTTGAACACCACGTGCCCCGTGCCCGCCCAGGGGTGGGGAAGGAGGTGCTGCACGAAGTTCTGCCCCGCCACGAAGTCGTCCAGCGAGCGGAACTCCAGGACGCGCCGGCCCTTGTAGTAACCGTCCATGTACCAGACCTTGGGGGGAGAGGGAGGGGAGGGAGGGGAAGGGGAGGGAGAAAAGGGCGTCAGAGGGGGCGTGGAGGGAGGGGGGAGGCAGAGTAAGGGGGGGAAAAAGGGTAGGGGTTGGGGAAAGGGGCGTTGGGAGGGGTCAAAAACATTCGAGGGGGGACAAAATCCTTCAAAGTGGGGATAAAAACCCTGCAAGGGGGGGACGAAACCCTTTGAGGGGGGGTCAAAGGCACATTGAGGTGGGATCAAAGCCCCTTCCAGGTGGGATCAAAGCCCCTTCCAGGTGGGATCAAACCTCCACTGAAATGGGCTCAAACCCCCTCTGAGGTGGAGTTTCAGGGTCAGCCCCCCCTGGATCCCCCCGGAGCACCCCCAGCCCCTCACCCTGCTGTCCGTGCTGGGGGTCATCGTGTCCGTCATCCAGGACCCGAAGCGGGACCCCGAGGCCCGGATGGTGATGGGGTTGCTGACCCCGGTCAGCTTCCCACAGCCTGGGAAAGGAGGGAAAAGCTGGAATTAGGGGAGGATCCAGGGGAGAGGAGTGACCAGATCCCTCCAGGACAGGCGGGAGCAGGTCCCTTTATCCCGGGATCCAACCAGCCCATCCCAAGGTCTCTACCCCATCCCAAGGGCCCCATTCCCAGCTTCCCAGCCCCATTCCCAGATTCCTGTACCCAGCCTCTGGATGCAGGCGTGCAGCCGGGATCTGACCCATCCCAAGGTCTCTATTCCCAGTTTCCCATTCCCAGATTTCCGTACCCAGCCTCTGGATGCAGGCGTGCAGCCGGGATCTGACCCATCCCATTTTCCCATTCCCAGATTCCCAGATTTCCGTACCCAGCCTCTGGATGCAGGCGTGCAGCCGGGCCTCGAGCAGGAGCAGCCGCTGCTGCAGCTCCTCGTAGTCGAAGGCTCCCATTTCCTCCTGGATGGAGAGGAGGCTCCCGGAGAGGTTCCGGACCTCGCCCTTGAGGTGCACGATGAGCCGCGTGTCCGAGCGGTACTGCTCCAACACCGGGATCAACGGGAGCAGCTCCGACATCCGCTGCTTCAGCTCCTGGGAAAGGGCGGAAAAAAAACCCCCGAGATGGGATCAGACCCCCTGGAATGGGATCAAACCCCCTGGAATGGGATCAAACCCCTCAGGGGCAGGAGGAGCCGCGTGTCCGAGCGGTGCTGCTCCAACACCGGGATCAACGGGAGCAGCTCCGACATCTGCTACTTCAGCTCCTGGGAAAAAACACCGGGATGGGCTCAAAAACACCCGGAAATGGGATCAAATCCCTGGAGATGGGATCAAACCCCCCTGAATTCCAGACTCGCCAAGGGTCACCCCCCCTGATCCCACGGAATTCCAGGCACGTTCCGGACCCCTCCCACATCCCTCCCTCCCTCACCACCCGGAGCTCGGGGCAGCATCTTCCCCCTCCCCCCCTTCCCGGGGAATTCCCACCTGGAATCTGCGGGCGTTGAGGGTCCTCTGGCCCTCAGTGGCCCCGCGCAGCTCCGAGTCCAGGCCCCGCAGGAGCGTCTCCGTGTTCCGCACGTACTGCAGGTCCCGGAACGTCCGGAGATCCAGCACTTCCATGGACTGGGAGATGTTCTGCACCTGGGAGGGACGGAGGGATTCGGGGTCAGCGACGGGGAAAAGGAGCCCCGGGAATTCGGGAGGGCAGGGAAATGGGGGGGTGGGGAGGAATTCCGGGAGATTCCATCCCGGTGTTCCCATCCTCTCCTGGAGTCCCCATCCCATCCCAATGTTCCCAGCCCAGTGTTCCCATCCCATCCTGGTCTGTTCCCCCCATCCCAGTTCCCCCATTCCATGCCAGTCTCCCCATCCCATCCCAGTATCCCACTCCCATCCTCTCCTCGTCTCCCCATCCCATCCCGGTCTCTCATTCCCATCCCATCCTGGTCTCCTCCCCCATCCCCCTCCCCTCTCCGACATTCCTGGGATATCCCCCCCTCCCCAATCCCTCCTTTCCCTCTCTCCCTCCCTCGCTCCAGTTGTTTGTTTTCCAAACTGCCTTTTCCCAACCCGGAGATTCCCCCCCCTTTCATCCCGGCCCTTTTCATTCCCCGGCTTTTCAAAAGCTCGGGAACGAATCCGTCGGGAATTTTCGTGGAGCTGCTGCCTCGGAAAAAAAAAAAAAGGAGCAGCTCTGGAAAAAAGAGAAAAAAGGGAAAAAAGGCCCCTTTGGATGCAGTGGGTTGTGATCAAAATTTAATGGGAATTCCGGGAAAAGAGGGGGAATGAGGCGGGAGCAGGGAGGGGGATCCGTGGATTCCACGGGAATGGGGATCATTCCCGGATCCTCATCCCGGGAACCGGCACAGGGATCCCCAGCCCTGAGACCTCCATGGGGATCCTCGGACCTGGGATTCCCACAGGGATCCTCAGACCTGGGATTCCCACATGGATCCTCAGACCTGGAATTCCCACATGGATCCTCAGACCTGGAATTCCGACAGGGATCCTCAGACCTGGAATTCCCACAGGGACCCTCAGCTCTGGAATTCCCACAGGGATCCTCAGCTCTGGAATTCCTCATCCCAGGCCTCCCAGCTGCCCCCCCCCCCATCCCATATCCCCACAGGAACGGAATCTCCTGGTTGGAATTCCCCATTCCCATCCCAATTAACCCCTTCCCTCCTCTCATTAATGACCCCCCCGGGCATTCCCAGCTCCTGAACGATCCCAATCTGCATTCCCAGCTC